AAAGTCAGACAGATCTACATTTCATTTTCCTCCCTGCAAGAATTGCAGCCACCATCAGCTACAGGGAGAGTGAGTTGGGAGAGTTCAGTAAACTACATCTAATGTAGACAATTAGTGAAATGATCTACGGTTGTCTAACCTTTGCTTATTTAAACAAAAATCAGTGAGATGAAAAAGAAAACCTATAGACTTTTCAATAATGTGTCATTATTGCTCCACAAATGAGATAATGAGGAAGCATTGATCCTGTTGGAACAGCACAAATACATCCTGACAGACCATGGCTACAAATGGTGCTCTGTTCACCTACTGACCTCCAGAAAGCAGCATTTTCCAAGGAGAGCTTTTGGAGAAATGGGAACATGGTCCTGGGGCCTGGTGAAAGGTCTGGCATCCAGTTCCACAGTGTGAAAGTATGACTGATTAGTGAAAACCAGACCACAAAGCAGGAGGAACCTTGGTCCTCTGCTGTTTTGATAGGAGTAAGTGTCCTGCCCATGGAAAAGTCATATTCTTCCTGTGGAGCAGCACATTGGAGCCCCAGGCCAACAGCTTGCTGTGATGCCAGAATATGAACTGTATTTACCTGTGTTGAATAGGGGAATATATCTGTTTTCAAGAATCTTTAGTGATACATAGAGCTGTGTAGTATCATTTAACTATCTGAGAATTGTTTTCTTCTGTGACAGGCCTGAAAGCATTTCTTCCTTATTCCTTAGAATTTTTAGTTCTTTTCAAGTTATTTCTGTTTATTGTGGGCCAGAGGGGTACCTGGCCTTTTGTAGTTTCTAATCTGCCAGGATCTGTGGTTTCTTTTCCACTTATCTTCACTAAAGTGTTGTTTCAGCCATCCACCACACTTTCCCCTGAGCCCTCTGATTTTTTGCCTGCCTCAAAGCACTTCCAAAGCAAAAAGCCCATCCGTTCATCCCGAGCCTGACATACTGCTGATCCCTGGTTGTGCTGATTTTATCCCTTCAGAAAGTACAACTCCTTTCCCTCAAATCCCCAAAAGGTCCTTTTTATACCTTTTCTCACTGAATTCCTTGGCATGGGTGCCTTTGCTTCTGCAAACCCCCATGGCCACAACCCCAGCCTTATCCTTTGCTGTTTGACACCTCTTCTAGGGCTGGAAGATGGAAGTGTTGGCTGGTATTAAGGCATCTCTGCTCTTTTACTGTTTTCTGTGGTATCATTTATTCACAGGTTTCATCAAGTTGCTTTCTCTTTCTGCCTGAATCTTATAAAGACAGTGAGTTTTTACAGAGCTTTACAGAGTTTTTACAGAGCTGCCTTACAATTTGTGAGCGCTGTGCCTGCTTCCCTGCCAGTAAACATCATGAAACCCTTTACATTAACTGATCTCTGCCCTAAAAGCCATTTCCTCACTGCCCTCACAGGAGGGCTGTTCAGGGCTGCACATTTTGGGCGGCTGGAAGCTTTTTTCTGACGTCTTGCCTAACTGAACACGCATCTCCCTGGCTTCCTGCTGCCTGTCTTAAGTTTCTGTATCTCTCCTGCCTCCATGGCAACATTTTCAGGCTGTCATCAGAGCATTGCTTTGCTCTTATTTTGCTCAGCTAACCATGACAAGCTCTTTGAACGTCTGGTTTTCTGTTCCCTTGGCCATCCCTTTGCTGCATCCACTCTGGTCAGAGGTGTCTTTTCTGTCCACTTACAGTGAGCAGCACAGGCACCACTTCCAGCAGATCTTGCTAGAGGTTTCTGTTACAATGGTCTGTAGGGGAATAACTTTTTCTGGTTTATAATTCGATTTTATTTAACTTTCCTGTGGCTGGTGACACTCCAGTGGCTGTCCAGGCTAACCAGCGTACAAACAATCATGAATTTCCCAAATGAAGAGTTTCCAAATTGCTACAAAACCACAACTGATTAGTTCTTGGCATTTAGTGACTTTTCTTAATCAAACCTGGAACCTGTGCTTTTGGTAGTCAGCAGAAAAGCAAAATCTTTCAAAGCTTTATCCATTTCACCTTCCTCCAAAACACAGGGGCAGAATCCTGGCTTTTCTAAGGATGAAAGGAATTGGGAAAAATTCCCCTAGGCAGTTGAGCACTGCACCTGTAAGGGTCTGGTAATGCCTGTAGGGCTTTGGGGGGATATTTTCTTCTGGATAGGCTAATCAGGGTTGTCCTCACTGTGTAGACACCCCATTCATGCTTCTGCAGCTCAGTTCCCCTTCCCAAAGGAGTGATGTGCAGTATGGGTGAGAAGACTGCAAAGTAATTTGATGCTGTGATAATGTCAGCACACAGGGAAGTGGGAGACTTACCCTAAAGCATTAATTAAATGTTTTGATGAAATGCTTGCAAAATACTTCACGACACTTCTTTAGATAGAAATTGCTGTAGGAATGTAAAGCAGTGTTAGAAAATGATTTCAGGTGATTGTGCCTGCATCCTGTAGCAGTTGAAGTTCTAGCTACAGAAGCAGGGCTTGAACGACAGCCAAGTCAGTGAAATCAGGATTATAGATACAAATTGCTGCAGACACATACATACAGAAAGAGATGAGTGAGATTCTTTCAGGACAGAAGACCATCAATACTTTTTTCAGGATTACACAATCTATTCAATAGCTTATTTTTCTGGATGGATCTGCTCTGGAGTTCTCCCTACAGTCTAATTGGCATGAATGCCCTCAGTGCTCAAATTAATTTTTTCCTAGCAGGGTGAACCTTTATCTCGCCCTTGTCCAGCCGATGCAGCATTACAGGTTAAAACTCAAGTTAATTTTTGTTGCTGTTGAATAACAGACACTGCAGAAAGATAGATAAAATGGTCCCTTTTTGATAATCCTGTTTTCCATGTAAATCCAAGCTAGGAAGGAGATTGTCTTAGACGAGGACAAATTGGGAAGAGCTCTCAGGCTGTCTGATCTCTCTTGTCTGCTTTGCAAAAAAGAATCAGATTAATGAACGTAATCAGATTAAGGCTAAAGAAGGGAACATATCTGGGGGGCATCAGAACTCTGCTGATACCAACAAACTGTATGGAAAATCAACGTTATTGGCCTAGCATTGCTCTGTAATTTAATTAATGGGAGCAAATAATGGCTTTCAAAGAAGTCCTGAGTGATGGCAAGAGGAGCTTGGTCTTCCAGAGGGCAAAAAGACCTGAGGGAGCTGGGAAGTGGCTCTAAGACCCTGTTTTAGGTCCTCTGGCACGGTGGCTCCTGGCTAAGCAGTGTGGGCCTTCTTTGGGCACAGGGTTTGGTGCAGTTAAATCTGCCCCAAACCATCTCTGCTCTCAGTCTGCTGTGTTTTGTGCAGAAAAACAACACTGTAGAAAACAGAGGATATACCCAGAACAGGCAGAGACAGAGATGACTGAGGTTCAGAGATACAAGAATGAGAACGACAAAAAGGAGACGTGTGAAAAATGAGGGGGAACGTGGTGAAAACAGAGTTAGAAAGAGGGCACAGAAGGGAAAATGATTTATAGAGCAATATTAGACCCTTAATGTTGATTTTTTTCCACTGCCTCCAGCAAACTGAGAGCAAGATGCACCACGCCAGGGCAGCAGTGTACTGCTGGGCCCTGAAGTGGCAGCACTCTCACCTGCTTGTCTTTAGAGAACAGGCATTTTAAGCTTTCTAAGAGAAAGTAAGAATGTGGTGGAAGTGGGAACACACAGAAGAAAGGGAGAAGAGGGTCAAGAACTTGAGGGAGAAGGGCCCTTATTATGGTTTCTGATCAGATCCATTTTCTGTTTCTTTGGTGCCAACTGTACCTTTCAGGAAATAAAACAGAATTTGATGTTTAAATTCTGCTGGTTGTTACAGACTCCCAGCCTGTGCTGGCGTCAAGGCCGGCACTGGGTTTTTGTTTTCCAAAATGAAATATATATCTCCCTAAAAATGCCCAGGGGTTTTCTTGCTGCATTTTATTACTTCGTTTGAATTTGAAGTTCTCTGAGACAGTTTTCTGGGGCAACAAATGGGATGTTTGATGTGAGGTCTTCAAGACCAAGAGGTAGAGATGAATGGAAGCAAAAAGAAATACGAGACTTGGAATGGGTGCTGCCCAGATTTCTAATTTTTATTCTTAAATGTCTGGCTGATTTGTCTAGGAATTGACAAGTTCTGATTGAGGTTTTGTCCCTGTTTGGGATATTTATAAATTCTACCCCCATGTGTCCCCTCTGGATCTATTAAGCTGTGAATGCATATTTTAGCTGTGGCCTTTTATCTGGGGCATGTAAGGTCTCTACTCATCACTGCTTTTCTTGAATTTTTTTGGCATCCAATTGTCTTGGAAACATCTCTGGCTCTCTGTAAAATGTGGCTGACATCAGTTGTTGAGATCATACACTGTCACACAAACAGATCCACACAAAAAGCTTGTTTTAAGCTTTGTTTTCATATAAAACAAAGCTGAAATTAGAAGGGCAGATGATGAGGCCTCTGACTTTTTTTCCCCGTGTCTCCCATACTCAGCTGAACAGAGGTTTAGCACCTCTCAAGGCAGTATTTCCTTTTGGGAAGGGTGAGGCAATTAAATGTGTGAGCAAATAAATAAATAAATAAATCTGGGGGAGGAGCTAATGGGTCATCACCCCTGGCTGCCATGAAAGGATGGGAGGACAATGGTGTGGGCTGTGGAAAGCTCTCATTGCAGTGGTGGCTGGCACGGGTCATCCTGCAGAGTCTGCACGCTCCCAGTGAGCTCATGCCACGCTCCCAGGGGTTGGAATTGCAAAGGAGCAGGTGACTCCAGCTACCAGCTGGTTCCCAGGTGATGCAAGAGTGTGCAAATCCAGGCAGATCCCTTGTCAGCACAGTCGTGTGCGTGCGTGTGGAATTTCCAGGCTTAATGCGCATTCTAAAGTGTGTGTGTTGCGTGTGAGCTTTCTGTGGAGCTCTAGAGCATGTGTGTCATGTGGGGTGAGGCCAGAAAAGCAGATGTCCTGGCCATGCCCCTCCTACTCGGGGATTGGAGGTGCTCAGGGGAAGCTGGGACACACCTCCCGGACTCACGGCCAGAGGCAGCAGCAGCTTCTGCAGGTTCAACAGGCCTCTGCCCTTTGGTCAAACAAAAACCTGCAGCTCCCTTTCCACCACCCATCCCCTTCTTTTGGTTAACCAGAGAGGAGGAGGATGGCCTATGCAGAGGAAGACAGGTAAGGTGCTGTGAAACAGGGGATGCACAGACATCCTGGCTGGAAAGGGGCTGGTGAAATTGCATCTCTTTTTCTCACGTCGTTTTCCTCTCCTTCCTACTGGGCACTCAATAAATGTCAGACAAAGGCTGCTCAGAAGTAAACATCGTATTATTGAAGAGGAATCTGGCCATCTGCCTGTGTCAGGTGCTGGTATTATGAAATATGGCAGTGGCAGGTGACCTTGGGAGAGGTTATGGGCCAGAAGAGGCAACTATCTCATGTGGAGAGGCACAGGCTGCGAATACGTATGGCTGTGTGCCCCCAAACCAATGCTTTAGCTGTTTATTGGGATATGTCTGCTTTTTTTTTTTACGTGGATTTGCTCTCAACCGACCCAGGAGCACAATGAGGGTGGGGTTTTTCGTGCCATAAAAGATCTGTCACCGGTGACAGTCCTGTGTTTTGCAACAGAGGCGTTTCCGCGGCGGATGACAGCAATCACAATAAAGGGGATTGTGCTTTCAGCTGATCCTGTGATTTAATCCAAAGCGATGCTACTGAGCACTATTATTAGGTGTGCATTGTTGGAGGCAGAGTAGCTGAAGGGGCCTTTGTGCTACATGTATTAATTCAAGCAGTCAAAAAGCTCGCACAGGCCTCGTGCTCGTGCGGTTCCGGGCTAAACAATGTGGTTGGTGACCCACAGATCGAGCTCCCCCTCTGCTCCTGCTGTGCAGGTATCTCCCTGAAATTATCTCCCTGAAATTCAGAAATTATCAGTGCTCGCCAGTCCCTTTGATGTGTGCATCTGGAAGGCTTCTGAAAACCAAATACTGCAGGCAGATTAATTTTGGCGTGGCTGTGCTCTCAGCACTAGGGACAGCTCTGACGTGCCCAAAGCCTTTGGGATGGACAGGGCTCTGCCAGGCCCCTGCACGCTGGCTGGAGCTCCATCCAGGCAGGGAGACATGTGCAGCACTGGAGTTTTAGTTCTTTGGGTAAGAAGTATTTTAATATCTTCTGTTTAAGAAGAGAAAAAAAAAAATCCCTGGAACTTGGCACAGCTCAGTCAGACCCGATATCTTCAGCAGACATCGAGTGATTCATCCTGCACTCCTAAAATTTCTGAGGATATAGGAGTAATATCCATTCTTTAATGTTATTTTGCAAGGGTGTATGCACCTTTTTTAAAAAAAAATACAGAGACAAAGGGGATTATGGTCAAGAGGAAGAGCAGATCCTGGTGACCTCGTTCTTTTCTCATGCCTGCCACAGGTATGTCAAAAACTTGGGTATTGCATATAAATTCTCTTGGTTCCCTTGAATTTCCAAACAAGGATTACAGTTATTCAATGGAGAGATTGGGTGAAATTGTTCATTAATGTATGTAAAGCACTTTTAAAGCTTTTGTCTGGGAGCAAGCGATAATATAGTCAAGTGTAGACCTCATTAATGTCATTTTCACAGCTCCTGCTTATTTCAGGAGCTCATGGTACACTTGGAAAATTCAACAATATGTGACGGTAAATAAACTTCCTCATTTCCAGACTTTTCCTTTGAAAAGTGTTTCAGCTAAGTAGGACTCTTCTTTTTAATCCATGTATATGGAAGTTATTTCTTCTTATTGGATTGCAGGTTTATGATATTTTCGGGCATTTTTGACATCACAGTTTGTAACTGGGAACATAAGTTTGTTGTACAACACGTTGGACAGGACTTGCAGTAGGAGCTGGACAGCTAGGAGAGGAAAAGCTCACAGAAAATATCTGTGCAGTAACTACCTACCCTGTCAGTATAAAGGAAGAAAAAACATAGGCTTGAGATCCTCTGTTTCAATGTCTGATACCTCAGTTGGAGGACTCAGTTGTACACAGGCAGTCAAATCCTCTTAGTCAGTGGCCTGACACCTCCTGGAGTGAGGAGCACCACTGTGAAAGCTTTTCTGCATATCCTCTAAGGCTGCAGACAGCAACATCACAACAGTACTGAGGTTTACACCTCTAGAAATCAAGAGACTTGGTTAAAAAAAAAAAAAAACCACCAAAAAATAAACATTCACGAAGCAGACGGTGAGTGCTTATCAGCATCACAGGTGATGTAAAATTGACTGGAGGCCTCGCAGTGTCTGATTCTCTCACCTCTCAATAAGCAGATCAGCTTCTCATATAGAGAACCTTTTTACCCCTACCTGTGTTGGTTCACTCCAGGACCTCGTCCTCTACCTTGTACAGTCATTAATTCTGCTCATCAATGGTAATGATTGAGTTGCTATCAAGAACTGCTGTTGGTACCCCTGCTTTTGAGGAGAGTTTCCAATCGACCTTGGTATTGACTTTCAGGAGGTATCTGCATTGTCCTGTTGGAAACAGGATTATCGGATTATTTCCCTATTGATCGTGTTTCAAAACTGTGATTAAAGCACCTGAATACTGGGCTAAGAGGTTAAAAATTGAACTTCTCTCCCCTCCCCTGAGACAACTGCACGACTGTACAGAGTACACACTAATGCCAACTTCTATCCCACCTCCTGGCAGGGGGGCTCAGTGCTGCATAAGACTTTTTTTGCCAAGGTGTTGGAGCAGTCCCCCTCTTAAATGGGCATAAACTCTGGAGCCCAAATTCCTGGTTTTCACTTGTTTTGATGTAGACTGATGTCCTTGGACCTCTTGCCTAGGACTAGACTGTGCCCCCTGCCCACTCTGTGGGAGAGAAGAGGCTGAGGGAGATCTCCATGTTTATCCTCCTGTGCTGAAGGCACGAGGGATCGAGAAGGTGGGTGTTTGAGGTGTGGTACCAGGCCCTGAAGGAGGCACTGGGAGCTGATGGCACTCAACACTTACGGAGATTGGCTCCTCCATCTCTGTAGATGATTCTTGCCCTATGTCTCAGTAGTCAGGCTACTGCAGAGGACAGTGTCTACTTTTTCATCAGCCCAGCACTCCAGCCATGCTGTTGAGGTGCCTTTGGAGTTCCATCCTCTTGGGTTTCCCCATCACAGGCTGCACATCCCTGTGCACACACATATAGGTTGCAATTTCTCAGTCTAAGTGTGCTTTTGCCTTCCTTCGGTGACTCTGGAGAGACCAGAGCCCATCAGAAGCAGGAGTGGTTATGCCTTGTGACATTTCTGTGATCTAGGTATCATTAGCCATTCTTCAATGACAGAATGAAACTGGCAAAGATGATTCAAATGCCTTCCCTGGGTATATACATGAGATTAAAAGCGATACATCTTCAATAATAGCAGTGAAGCTTCTATTATTATAGCCTTAATGAAATTTCCTTTTCTTTGCACCTTTTCAGGACTTGTATCCTTTGAAGCTTGTTCTTTGAATGGGTTGATAGTCTCCCTGACCTGTTTTCCTTCTGCAGGAACAGCTATGAGGTGTACAAGGAAACAGCAGATTGGTTACGTGCCCGAACCGTCCAGCGCCCAAAAATCGCCATCATCTGCGGCTCCGGACTGGGAGGCCTGGCTGACGTGTTGGATAATAAGACAGTCTTTCCCTACGAGGACATCCCTCACTTCCCACGGAGCACAGGTCAGCACAACCCCAGGGCACCAGCATCCCACCCCTGGGCAGCCCTGCAGCACAGCCTCACCCAGAGATCACCTGAGCCGACGCGCTCCTCTTGGCATCGCCCCGCGCGCCAGTCCCTCGGTGCTGAAATGTGTGTTCAGAGTGAAAAAATATAAACACCGTAGCACAGAAATATGTGTTTATTTATTTATTCGGCTTCCAGCCCCTGCTCTCGCTGCAGAGCAAAGCCATGGCCTGGCAGACCCCTCTGAAGCCCCAAGGCCTCGAGACCTGCGAGTGAAGTGACGCTGTGTTGGTTTGCAGTTGCAGGGCACGTTGGCAGGCTGGTGTTTGGGGAGCTGAGCGGGCAGCCCTGCGTGTGCATGCAGGGGCGTTTCCACTCCTACGAAGGCTACTCTGTCAGCACGGTGAGTCCTCCTCGAGGAAAACACTCACGCAGGGAGAGTGTAAAAAGAAAAAGGCAGAAAAAAGCAAAAGCGACTGCTTTCTTTGCTATCTAGCTGCGCATTGTTAGCTCTCACAATGAACTTGCATTGCTCTTGAAGTGAGGCTTTCTTAGATTTCAGATTTCTCCCCGAAAAATAAAATTGGGAGTTCAAACCAAGAGGCTTCTACTGGGTGAAGGTGATGCTGTGCAGCCACACAAATTGGCTAACCCTGTTACACTTGCAGGGGAAAACAGTTCATCATACAAGGCAGATTAATTTACATTCTTTAACTCAGGCAGTTTAATCATGATTTAAATCAGCAACCAGAAAACTCTGATAAGAATAATCTATTTTAATCTTCTTTTGCATTTGTATAGTTTACAGCTTTTTTTTTCCCCCTAGAAAAAACTCCCTGGCTACTGCAACTTGCTATACCCTCCCAGCTAACATATAGGAGTGTGTGGATAGTTGCATTTATACTGCCTAACATACACATATGTACATTTCTGTTAGAAAACACCAATAATATTTACTCTCTGACAGTGTTGTGTGTTCTTTTTTTTATTTGGATAGCTTTGAGATTTTCCAGGTGGCTGAGGTTGATTTGTGTTTGGATATAAACCACAACATTTGGCACCACTCAGCTTTTTACAGAAAAAAACAACTATTTTAAAATCACTCAATACGTAACTAGTTTAATCAAGACATGTTTGTCTGTTAAAATTAACTGGTTTCTTAAAGAAGTGGTGTCCACAGTTGGGAAATTTTCTGCTCACAGCCTCTCTAGCATTTGAGAGGGAGCAGCTATCATCCCAGTTCCTTTGTGACTCCTCAAAATAAAACTGTTAAAATTTTTTTCCAGTTCCCAGTTGTTCCTTAACTTTGGATTGCACTCCAGGGCCATATGCATAAGTAGTCACTTCAGTCAGCACAGTGGTTTGATCTCTGCAAGTCCTTGGCAGTGAGGAAGAACTATCTGTATGTTCTTTCTGTACCACCTTCATTTGACCTTAGTGCAACTGTGGGAAGTGTGGGCTTGGATTTTAATGGTGTTCATTACAAGATTAGGTTTTAATATGTTTAAAAACCATTAAAATTCTGTTTAAATTAGAAGAATGTTTAGAATTGGAGAAGGTTGATTTGTCTCTGTGTATAGACCCTTCTTTGCACCCACCAATTGTGATACTACAAATGCAGTAGCAGTAGCTGTCTGTTGGCTCTGATATTCATTGCACATGTGCCTTTGGTTCTTCCAGGTCACCTTTCCCATCAGGGTCTTCTTTCTCCTGGGGGTGGAGATCTTGATTGTCACAAATGCTGCTGGAGGACTGAATCCCCACTTCCAAGTGGGGGACATCATGTTCATAAGAGACCACATCAGCTTGTTTGGCTTGGGAGGGCAGAATCCACTGCGTGGACCAAATGATGAGAGGTAAGAAGGCATCAGCTCCATGTTACCAATGAATCCTTTCTTCCTCCAGCCACAGGCTGGGGCTGCCTGTTGTGCCTGCTGACAGATATTTACTGAGAGTAGAGTCTGGCTCCAGGTGTGCACAAGGGAAGAGTTAAAGCAATAGCTGTGTGTGCTGTGCCACCTGCCCTGCCCTCCTCAAGCACCCTGCCTTGGCTGTTGCTTACTCTTACAAGCCCAGAATGTTCTGTGCCATACAAGTAGGCTTCCGATCCTCTCCTGACATGACCCACTGCTGTCTCTTCTTGTCAACCCCTCTCTCTGCTGGTTCCTGTTAACTGAGCAGTTGGTGAACTGCAGTGTCCCCAGCCTGTGTTTACCAACAGCCATTTCTGGTGTGATGGAAGGGGTACAACAGAGGCCAGGCAGTGAGAGCAGGGCAAAGATAAAACCTCCAAATCTCCTGATAGCCACACTTGTATCCAGGTTGTTAAGCTGGGGTGCCATTGTTAACAGAATGGATTCATTGAAGGCATTGCTCTGATGAGAGAAGGTTGTCTTGGCAGCTTCTTCAGAGACCTCTAGACCTACAAGACTGACCTGCTGCTGGTTTTGCTGTGAGGTCAGGTTTCCTGTACTGGCTGTGTAGCAGAATCTTTACCCTGTGGTCAGAGCAGAGAGGGGCTTCCAACATATCCTCACCCCAGACTGCAGTTGCCTCTGGGCATAAAGTTGCTTTGAGAGGGATTTTGGACTAGGAGACCTCGAGGTCCCTTCCAGCATGAATTTATGATCCTAAAATCCTTCCAAGACACCACCAGTCTGGTAGGGTGGAAGGCAACCAGCATGAGCAAGGTCATGGCACTGAGAGGTTACATTCCAGATGGAGCAGTGCTCACAAAGAGAAGCCCTTTGGCTCTCAGATGGGGCTAAAAAGGGTGTGAGGACACGTCCACTGGAGATCCAGGCTGAGCAAAGGAAAGCATATCAGTTGTCAGGAAAATCAACATGGAAGCAGTAAAGATCCAGCGCTGTCACAAGCAGGAAAGAAAGAGGCCAGATTGTGACAAGGAGAAAACAGGAGCAAGAATTATTTCCTAACCAAGCTGGCAGGAAAAAAGGCCAGGAGACAGCCAGATATGTGAAGCCAGAGAACAGGCTGCTGAAGGAGGTGGTGAAGGAAGTGGTAGTTTATGAGCAAAGAGTGAGTTCAGATAATAAGATGGTTAAATCTGTTGTTGGGTTGGTACCTTCATCCTGAAAAATGGACATGTTTGCTGGGCAGGCATCTGGATTGTCCTTGGATCTTTCCAGAGAGAAAGTTCTGCTGAGAATAAGGTGGCCTGCCTGGCTTTCACTTAGGTTAGTTCCTTCCTGATGTAACAGCAGACCCGGCTCCTGCTTGTGAAGAATCTGAAAGGTGCCGGCAGCTGCCTCGGGAGAAATAACCACTGTGCTGCGATTCCATGGCGAGAGGACAGTAGCCATCTGAAGTGGAACATCTTTACATCTTTGTAGGTAGTGCTGTGGGTTGGAGGAAAGAGTGATCAAAAGCAGAGAAGCCACATGGAATGTTTAAAGCTCTCTGGACTTGCATAATTGCTCTGGAGCAGGAGGAGAAACGCCAATCAAACAACTGCATCTGGACAACGTTCAAAGGCAGCAGAGCTGCCTCATTGCCTCCCAGAGGCAGCTTCCTGGTGAAGACTGCAGTGCTCTGGGAGGTGACTTTTGCACTGCTGACCAAGGCATCAAAATGGGCAAAAGGTCTTTATGAATCAGGTTTCAAAGCATTGCGGAGCTTTAGCTGAGCAAACTCCTGAAATCCTGTCCAGCTGAGCTACCAGGAAGGATTTATCTAAGCACAACAGAGCAAAACCAGAGGCAATGAAGTGATGTGGAAATAATATTTTTTTAATAAATTAGAGATTGGCTTCTGCGTTGCTGGCCATCCTTCAGGAAAGGGAAGCAATTTTCATAGTGATGAGTACTTATTGCCTTCGACCAGAAGGGAAAGTTTGTTTTTATTTATATAATATTTATTGTTTATAAAAACAAAATAAGCCACCTCCTGCCCTAAGCATTCAGCTGGAAGAACATGTAAACAAGCAGGAGCTTTAATAGCCTAAATGAGGGACCCGGTCCACTCCTACTGAACTGCACTGGTGAATATGGCTGGGAGTTTATTTTCCAGGTTTCCTCAGTGGCAGCATAACAATCTTTGCCATCTACTCTGCTCTCCATGAGCCAGTAGAAAGATTCAGGAGCAGGACTGAGCTGTTATCTTAAGACCTAAGGCAAGCAAGAAACCCAGCCTTGAAGCAGAGGATGCAGGCTACCTAAAATATGGCCCTGGAGCTCCAAGATGTTAGTAGCTGCCTGCTGGGATGGGCCTTAAATGTGGTGGCTGGTGCTCCATCAGGGCCTGCTCAAACCCCCTCCCTGGGACAGCCTGTGGGACTCTGTGCCTCAGGGAGCCCAAAGGGCAACAACTGTTTGGTGGACAGTGTTTAAAAGTCACTATGAGCAATTACTGGGGAGAGAGAGAACTGGCCATCAGTGCTCGTGGAGACAAAAAGAATTGAATGACCATTTCAGAAGTGTTTGTGCAGTAAATAAGCAGCATCAGACCTTCCAACAGCCATAACTTCTATGTTCTGAGAGTTTTGGGTGATTAGATCTAGCAGAAATGTCATGCCCAAGAGGTGGTAGATACCCTGTTCCTGGAAACATTCAAGGTCAGGTTGGACAGGGCTCTGAGCAACCTGATCTAGTTGAAGGTGTCCCTGCTCACTGCAGGAGTTTGGATGAGATAGCCTTTAAAGGCCCCTTCAAACCCAAACTATTCTATGATTCTCTGATTTGAGAGTGATCTGATGATAAGGGCAGAATGAGAGGCTGCTCTGCCCTTGACATTTCCCCTCTCCCCAAAGGATGAGCACCCCTGGACTCTGAAGGACGGGAAGGTCGCGGTGTCACACGGCTGTGTCTTTTTACTGCCTTGCAGGTTTGGGGTGAGGTTTCCCTGCATGTCAGATGCTTATGAACAGGATCTGCTGGGCCTGGCAAAGGAGAGTGCCCAGGAGCTGGGCTTCCTGAGCTTCACCAGGGAAGGAGTGTACTGTGTGCTGGCCGGGCCCTGCTACGAGACCGTCGCCGAGTGCCGGGTGCTGCAGGCGCTGGGAGCCGACGCCGTGGGTGAGCCCAGGCTGGGCTGGCAGGGTTGGTTGGGCACATGGATTATACAGTTAATTCTGCTCAACGCTGACTTGCTTCAGTCTTTGAGTCTCTTAAGTCTCCCGGGGCTGGGGAAACGAGCTCTGTGTGTTTCTACTTCGTTCTGCAGTGGCTTAGTGCAGCTCCTTGGATGGATCTGCAGAAAGTCCCCGTGCTTATGGCTGCCCGGGGCAGGGATGGCAGCACAACATTGTGTTTGTTTCCCAAGCACAAGTCTCTTATGCTCAGATGGCTCCACTTCACCAGAGCTGAGTCTTTTTCTAATTTTTTTTTTTTTTAATTCTGACACCGTGAAGATTTTCGCTGTGCTTTCTCCCTACAAACCAGCCCCCCATAAGAGTCTTGTTTAGGGATGGTAATCATGGATACCTTCCCAACTATGCACAAGGAAAGTAAGGGCCATGATCCATATGATTCCTCCAGCTTGGCCCCCGGCTCGTGGAAGTCTGTTCATTAATACTTTGCAGATTCATTGTGTGTGAGGAAAGGAGCTCAGCTCCCCTCAAAGCCGTTTTTCTTTGCAATAGGTTATTTAACTGGGGAAGAGAGGAGCCAAATGACACAGCACATCAGTACTTTCCTCAGCAAGGCTGCAAGCAGCCTGACACGTCTTGAGGAGGGAGCTGTGGCTCAGGGATCAAATGCAGGAGGTTTATTGTGCTGAGCAGAGTAGTAACTGTAGTGCTGCAGCTATTTGAGCCTTCTAAGTGTCACATCCTTTAACTATTGCAGGGCTCAGGAACAGGGAGGTGGGGGGAAGGAGACAAGGGCATGTGCTTTGGAGGTAGGATGGTGGTTTGCAGCCTTGGAGAGATTTTGTTTGGTGTAAATCCTGACTCATTCTGGTCCTTTCCTCTCCCACCATAGGCATGAGCACTGTCCCAGAGGTGATTGTGGCCAGGCATTGTGGCCTCCGAGTCCTTGGGATCTCCCTCATCACCAACAAAGTGGTGATGAGCTATGACAGCCAGGAGAAAGCCAACCACGAGGAAGTGCTGCGCGTCTCGGTGGTCCGGGCTGAGGCCCTGCAGAAACTGGTCACACACCTCCTGGGGAAGCTGGGGGAAAGCACAAACTCTCTGTGACCCCCCAGCCATTCAGCATTCATATCCTAACGTGTGAACACTAGCAAGTGCTGGGGGAGAGCCGTTGGTGGGACTGTCCCCTTCTGCTCTCCTCCCTTTGAATAGACCTTTTTATCTTTGTGCTTTGTCTGAACAGGTGCAGAGGTTTGCTTTGAATCCTGCCAGAATGATCCCCTTGTTACTAGCCACTGGCCAAAGCAGGTCGCTGGCACTTAAACACTCTGGCAAGCCCCAGTGTTAGCAATGTGAGCTCCAGCTCCCCCTCATTCTGCTGTCTCTCTTGGCACAACACCCTCCTGCCCCGAGCCTCTGCTCCCCCGTGCCACATGAGCCTGGTCAACAGTTGGTCCTGGGGCTTGGTGCCTGCTGGGCCTGCTCTGGTGGGGCCTGGTCTGAAGCCAGTGGAAGTCCACAAAAAGACTCTGAATTCTGGATACATGAAATGGGCCAGGCTAAAGGTGAGGTCTGCCTGGAACAGGCAGTGCTGCAGAGCAAGTGAATTGCAATTGATTTTACAGCTTGGAAAACCACTGCATTCCCATGCATGGGGTTGTGCTCCCTTACCATGCCAGATGGTCTCCCAGAAAGTCCCCTCTTTGCTCATTCTTGGCTTCTCATGACCAGCTGCAGAGCTCAGTAGCTGTTTGCTACAATTCAGCTCTCCCCCAGCGCCCCTCACACCTCTCTGCTCTGTCTCAATTTACAGGGGATGAAAATGCAGCCCAACAACAAGGCATGACCTATCATGGCCAAAACAGAAATCCAGGTCCAGCTCTGCCTGGATGTGTTCTTTCTGTTTCTGGATGTTTTGGAGATCAGTAGCTTGAGCATTGGAGATTGGTTCCCTGTTGGTGTCACAAGACAGAGAGATCAGTTTGACCCAGTGTTTCACAACAGCTTTGCTCCACTGCTGCTTCTCCTGCAGCAGATGTTGGAGCACCACTGGTTTGAGGAGTTTGATAATGTGAAATTACAGTGGAAATATTTTGGAGCAGGTGTGATATTTTTCTGACTTTCCAGGTGCTCTTACATAAAGAAGTTGAGCCAAGCAGTGAGCAAAGGACAAACAGGAGAGGCTCTCTTTTACCAGCGTGCTGATGGTCTATCAAGGAAGGGGAACATTCACCAGAGTGGTGCATTATTCATTGTTCCTCAAAGGTCAGGCTGAGCTGTGGATGCAGCTGGATGTGAAACAGTGACTGTAATTATTAGATAACCTTTTTCCCTTCATTTATCTTGGAGTTCTCTATAAAGCCCATCACGGTCATAGTTAAATGTTTTCAGTTGACTCACTGGTCTGAACTGAAGACACCCAACTGGTCATGGAGAGCTCCCAACCTGCCTTCCTAAATTTAGCTGATCAGTTGTTTACCACTGACGCTTGCCCTCCGTCACAGCCTTCAGCCTTCCTTGACATTTCTTCCATTTTTTTTCCAAATGGGTGTTTGCTTGAAGCCCTTCATGCTGCAATTACTGGTGTCGACTGCAGCATCCGTGGTGCAGATGTTGCCACCAGGAGGAACAGCTGTGCCTTGAATGTTTTCCATGAAATGACAGCACTTCAGGTGTAGGGGAGATCTTGGGTGACCGCCCCGTCCCCTTCTCTTCTCGTGGGCAGGGTTACCTGTGCTCATTCCTGACAAATATCTGCCCAGCCTGGTCTGGAGGACTTGTGGAGGGGGAGGATTCACTGCTTGTGCTTTTCTGGCAGAGTCACTTGTTCAGCAGCTCCTGGAACTTGGAGGAGCCCTCAGAGACAGAGGCTCTTCCCATTTAGTGGCTCTGACTGTCAGGGCAGTCTCGAGGACCAGCTCTGGTGGTTTTCTGCAGAGGGGGAGGGACTCCAACTCCGTCTTCCACAGGGCTGTTGCCTTTTCAGATCTAGCAGGAGTGAAGTGCTTGTCACGTGGGGCAGCACAAGCAGCGAAATACGAAAAGTGCCAGATGTGCAGAGCAAGGAGGAGCCACTTCTACCTGCTCCCTTTTCAGACTTGCCCCAGTATGGGCTTGTTACAGGGCAGGGAGAGAGCAGATGATTTCCCCTGCCTGGAAAATGGTGCTTCACATTCATCTAATTAATACTTGGTAAATACAAAGTCTCTCAAGTGGGAGTGGAAGGCAGCTGTGCAGCTCGCTGTAGCTGGCAGCAGCCAGAGTAGCTAAGGCTGGGATTTCAGCAGGCTCCATTAATTAATCAGAGTCAGGCTGGGCTGTGATGTGAAGGGAAGCATCCAAAAAAACCTGCTGTTGTGCTGGTGCTTCTCAGGCGGGGTTTGAGATGAAGAGGAGCTTGGCAGCAGCAGCACCTGCTTCCAGCAGGCCGGGCCTGCTCCTCTCTCCAGCTGTACCGGAGGCAGATCCCCTGCTCTTGTGCCTGAATGTGGCTTAAATGCGACTTAAAATTGAATCTGGAAACCACCCTGCAGCTAAATCTTAGGCAAATTATGTCTTTTTTTTTTTTTTTTTTTTAAGAAATATTTTCTAAATAGTGTTTGAACCCTTAAACAGTTTGGGGCTCTTCTTTCTGCTGCTCAGGGTTGGCTTGGATGGCCCAAACTCTGCGTGAGTGTCCTCATTTTTGTCCCTGTAAGTGATGAGAGGGAAGATGCCCTGGGCACTTTGGAAAGGATCTTATTCATGCTTTATGGGGGAGAGGGAGAATACAGTTAACAGAGTGGGCTCGTCTGGCTTTGGGAGATACTTTTAATACAATTTTTTGAGTTTTTTTTAACTGCTGGTGAATTTCAAAAGTCTGAAATACAATGATGCAGGACAAATAAGATATGTAGGGAAGAAACTGAGGGAATAAAACCTGCTGTGATCCTGAAAACAGTGTTTTTGTTTGCTGTGCCAAGGTTGTTGTGTAGAAAAGAGGGAGGTGCTTAACACTCCTGCACTCCACCCCAGGCTGGAGGATATCCCTGGGGGACCCCACAGCACCACATCCCTGGGGAGCCAGAGCTCAAAGCTCTGGATAAGCAGGACCAACGTTGGACCAGCACTTTGTGCAGGTATTTCTTACTGATCCCACCAGGCTGAGGAACTTATGGAAGAAACACCAAGAACCAAAGGACCTGGACTAACTTTTGAGAAGCTGGAAGGTGTGATGGGCTGTGGTGGTGCCAGTGCAGCAAGTCACCTGTGTTGGAGGCAGGATGTGGGTTCCTTGGTGCTGTGCCTTTTTTTTTTAGTGCTCCTGGTGCTTTCTGGCAACATCCATGGCCGAAATGAGTAGGTTGTGAAACAACTTTGGCTTTCTTCGTTCCTATCCTCTGTGCCCCTTACCTGCTTCTGCAGTCCAGGGCATTATGGTCATAGGGATAAGCTGGAAGATGCACAAAAAGCTGAAAAACCTGGCAGGGGGTAAAAGAGTCCCAGATTGCATGATGATCCTGGCTGGATTGGGAACGCCACCAGCACTGGCTGTCCCATGCAGCTCTACCTGTGGCAGGGGGATCCATGGAAAACCTGTGTCTGTGCAGGGCACAGCTGGCACAGCTCCTCCTTTACTCCCTCACAGCCATGGATCCATGAGCCAGTCTGGCCCATCCTCTCTGCCAGCCCTTTCCTTTTCCTTGCTCACCGTTCCAGAGAAAACTTTTTGGATCATGAGTTCCTGCTGCTTCCAGTCCCCTGGAGAAGATGGAGATTGTTATATGGATGTGGGATCCACATGAAAGTGTGAGGCCAAGAGGAGAAATCTCTGCCACAGCCCTTGACTGGACCATATAATGAGTGTTTAAGTAGAGATCTCTGCTGTTATCTGCAAAACAACCTTGCAACCCCAAAAAACTGGTGATGTGATCCATCCTGTTTCCTTTGCAAGGCTCGGTTTTCCAGAGTTCCTTTTACATGTGGTTTGCCTTTTGCGTTCTTTCTTATATAAAAGTAAATCAGAAAGCTTTTAAAAGCCTGTGCTGTCTGCCTCGGCTCGGCAGCGAGCGTGTGCCTTGCCTTCAAGTTATCAAAATTCCCTTAGATGTTTCTCTTTATTGAAATCCTGCAGCTGAATTAAGGGGGTTCTGCTATAGTGGTGTGTTGTTCGGGGTTTTTCTGAAAGCTTTAGGTCTTCACTGCATGGATTTCATCTGCTGAAAAGAATTAAACTCTTCCCTGCCACAATGAATGTGGAGAGCAGGGGGGAGTGATGTGGGTCACGGCAACAGGGCTGATCTTGGAGCATTGCTGAATTAAAATCTGACTCTCTCAGCAGCATGGTGGGCTGCAATTTCCAAAATCTGATGGCATGTTCAGAGAGAATCATAAAATATCCTGAGTTGGAAGGGACCCACAAGGATCATCGAGTCCAGCTCCTGGCCCTGCACAGGACAACAACAGGAATCACACCATGTGCCTGAGAGTGTTGTCCAAACACTCCTTGGACTCTGTCAGACTGGTGCTGTGACCACTGCCCTGGGGAGCCTGTTCAGTGCCCAACCACCCTCTGGGTGAAGAACCTTTCCCTAATATCCAACCTAGGAAGTAATTTAAGAGCTGGGACGTGGGCGAAGGCTGGAGGGAACCATCCAGACTTTTCTCCTGCAGAGGGGACATGCCCTGTGCCCAGACACCCCTGTGGGAGATGACTTCAAACAAAAGAACAACCATCACTTGCTTTCCTTGCCTGAAGCTTCACAGCCCTCTCCAGAAGTCTTTCTCAACCTTAGCAAATCCCTTCCTGCAGCAACGAGCCCCTTTTCCTGCCGGCTGCTTCACAGAGGCAGCTTGGGGAAGTATTTCCCCAGAGAAGGCAGAGAGTGCACCCAGAGCCCAAATTTTGCTCCCAGGTCCCACCTTGGACCAGCCTTGGCTCTTTGTTAGCAGAGACCTGGGCATTGTGGAGCAGTGGGACTGTGATGGGCTGGTGACTCAGAGCCACCCCTGTGCTGGGGCTCCACTCCCTGTGGAGCAGAAGAAGATGGACCAGTGTCAGGTACCTGTGCTGCTTCTCTCCCCAGCCTGGGCACAACTGGAGACACATCCCTAAATCCAGCCCTACAGAGGCAGTGAGTGTCCCCTCTCAGCCCCCAGGAAAAAACTGCTCTGGAGGGAGGGGGATAGAAAAGCAGTGGGCTCAGCTGGGGGAAATTGCTCTGCAATAATGGGAAAAAGAATGTTTTTTTGGGTCTAATCTCTGTGCCAGAGCTCAGTAAATGTGAATGGAATACCCAGGACACCCTTCAGCATGTCATGTGTGCCTGAAGGCTGTGTTGTGCAACAGAGAGAAGGAGAAGGCCATCTTGCTGCCTGGTGTCCCAGTCTGGCTCTCCTCATGGGATGCTGGTGCAGCATCTCCCTTCCCATGCCTGGAGTCGGGTGTCCTGCCCTGCCCCAGCTTCCCACGGTGTTAGAGCCAGGTTTGGTGCCACCTCCATTGCTTTCAGCTCCCCCAGTCCCCAAGCCTGCATCCCCTGCCATTCGTGGGGGGGCACCTCACTTTTTTTCCAGCCAAGAGACAAAAAATAAGAGGTGCCAGCACCTGACAGGATGGGCAATCCCCTGGACAGCTGCCTGCTGCCAACTCCGTCCCTGCTCTGCGCACATCTGAACTTCCCTGGTGCCTTCTCATCTTTAATTAAGCACTTCCATCGGCTCAGCCTTCTCGCTGGATCTGAATTCCCCCCCCCCCCGTAGCCATGGCAACGCTTCCCCTGGGCAGGCTGCGCTGGAGCCGGTGACAAACCCCACGTGTGGCTGTTTGTTTGGGCCTGGAAATTTCCCTGCAATTTGGGGAAACTTGGGAAAAGAAAATCCCACGATGAGCTGGCGAGTGGCAAAGGGAGCCAGGGTGGGAAAGGTTTTTTGGGCTGAGCATCGCTCCCATCCCTCTAAGGAGCTCTGTTCCAGCAGGGATGGCAGAGCCTTGATCTGGAGGTTCCTTGGTTTTTCCTCCAAAAGATGGATGCAGTCCAAGTTTTGTGTCCTTGGGCGGTGAGTGACAGCCCTGCTGTGGCCATGGTCCCTTGGTGGTGGTGACACAAGAACTGCCTTGGCCCTGCTCCTCCTGCCAGGACCCCCAAACCATGAGGTGTGAAGCTGCCGTGAGGCAAAGGGACAGTGGCACAGGTGGGGTGGCACAGGGAAGGGACATGGTGACAGGGGTGAGGCTGGGGGCACAGGAGGGGATGCAGGGACTTGGGGAAGGGATGGAGTGATGGGCAGGAGGAGGTGACAGGGCAGGACTAGGTGTCAGGAAAGGGGTAGATGACACGGGGCAGTGGTGAGTGACATGGGGCAGTGGTGGGTGACATGGGGCAGGGGTGAGTGACATGGGGCAGGGGTGGGTGACACGGGGCAGTGGTGGGTGACATGGGGCAGGGGTGGGTGACATGGGGCAGGGGTGGGTGACATGGGGCAGGGCAGGTGGCACAGAGCAGGGGTAGGTGACAAGGCAGGGACAAGTGGCAAGGCACAGGCTGCCGACCCCAGTGCCTGGTGCTACCCCTGGTGTCCCAGTTCCAGTATCCTGTCATCCTGGTGTCCCAGTATCCCAGTATCCTGGCATCCCAATGTCCCACTATCCCATTATCCCACTATCCTGTTATCCCAGTGTCCTGTTATCCTGGTGTCCCATTATCCTGGTATCCCACTATCCTGTTATCCCTGTATCCCTTTATCCCAGTATCCTGGTATCCCAGTGTCCCATTATCCTGGTGTGCTGGTATCCCATTATCCCGTTATCCAAGTATCTCCTTATCCCGTTATCCTGCTATCCCATTATCCCTGTATCCCTCTATCCCGTTATCATTCTATCCCACTATCCCTGTATCCCACTGTCCCATTATCCCTGTATCCTGTTATCCCCGTATCCCACTATCCCGTTATCCTGCTATCCTATTATCCTGCTATCCCTGTACCCCACTATCCCTGTATCCCATTACCCCTGTATCCCGCTATCCCTGTATCCCACTGTTATCCCTGTATCTCACTATCCCATTATCACTCTATCCCACTCTCCTGCTATCCCTGTATCCCGTTATCCCTCTATCCCATTATCCCTGGATCCCATTATCCCTGGATCCCTGGATGCCTGGATCCCACTATCCCATTATCCCACTATCCCCATTATCCCTGTACCCCTATATCCCTGTATCCCGTTATCCCTGTATCCCTGTTATCCCTATATCCCTGTACCCCTCTATCCCCGTTATCCCGCTGTTAACCCGTTATCCCTCTGTCCCGTTATCCCTGTTATCCCTATATCCCTGTACCCCTCTATCCCTATATCCCTGTTATCCCTATATCCCTGTACCCCTCTATCTCCATATCCCGCTGTTATCCCGTTATCCCTCTATCCCTCTATCCCCGTTATCCCTATATCCCTGTACCACTCTATCCCTGTATCCCGCTGTTATCCCGTTATCCCTCTATCCCTATATCCCTGTACCCCTCTATCCCCGTATCCCGCTGTTATCCCGTTATCCCGCTGTTATCCCCGTTATCCCGCTGTTATCCCGTTATCCCTCTATCCCGTTATCCCTGTACCCCTCTATCCCACTGTTATCCCGCTGTTATCCCGCTGTTATCCCGTTATCCCGCTCTCCCGCTGCCCCCCGTGCCCGGCCGGTGTCCCGGGGCGGCGGCGCCCCCTGGCGGCGGCGGGCGGCGCGGCGGCGGCGGGTATAAAAGGCGGCGGCGGGCGGCGACGGGATCGGGAGCGGCGGGATCGGGAGCGGGATCGGGAGCGGGATGGCCGGCCCGCAGCAGGCCCCGCACCTCCACCTGGCCGAGCTCACCGCCTCCCAGTTCCTCGACGTCTGGCGGCACTTCGACGCGGACGGTCAGTCCCGGGGCGCGGGGGGACACTTCGCCTCCCAAAAAACCGGCGGGGAGGGCACCGGGCTGAGCATCCCCGGGGGGAGCGGGGCGGGAGGGTGGGGGGGCGGTGGACAGTCCCTGGACATCCCGGAGGAGAGGATAGAGTGTCCACCGCCGCAGCCCGGGGATATCGGAGAGCACCCGGGATAGAGAGATCTCAGGATGGAGAGCCCCCGGAGCAATGGAGAGCCCCCGGGATAGAGAGACCTCAAGATGCAGAGTCTCCGGGGTGATGGAGAGCCCTTGGGGCTCAGCCCCGTCGGTCGAAGCTCCGGGATCGGGAAGGAGATCCCCAGGACCTCCCCGTCGGGAAAGGAGGGGAGCCCCAGAACCGGACCCCACCGGGAGCCCCCAGCCCATGGGACGCTGAGCCCAGAGTGCCCTGGGGCTCCTTGGCACGTCCCCCGAGTGCCCTGAGAGCTGGGGCTCGCTCAGGGCTGCTCTCACCTCTGGGTGCTGCTCTGGGGGTCCTGCCCTTTCCGGGGTGCCCCCTCCCTGCCCAGTGCCCACCCTCGGCCCCCTCTATCCCCGCGCCTCGACAGTGCCCCATCCTTGGCACCTGGGGAGAGAGGGGCAGCGGGGCCACCCCCTTGCCAGGGGCGACAGAGCGGGTGTCCCACTCCCTGAGCGGGCTGAGGAACGATCGCTCCGTGTCTGGAGTGCTCGGTCCCTCCCCGCCTGCTCCCCAGCCCCGCAAAACCTCTGCCCAGGGATGTTGTGCCAAACGACCGTGTGCACTGCGGGGATGTCACCTTCCCACGGAATCCCAGCTGGGCAGGACACCCCTGTTCCCACCACTGCCAGCCCCAGAAAGTGGGGGAAATGCAAAAAGCAGCATCATTTTATGAGAAAATAGTTTCTTTCAGCTCTGCAGTGCTGTGAAGGAGGCTCAGCCCGCTGGGAAGAGCAGCCCAGGGGAAAACTCCTGCCCTTCGCTGGGTCTCCTGTTCCTGCAGAGAGGTTTGGGGACCAAAACCCTCCTGGGAACTGCGTCACGCAGCCTCCTCGGCTGTGCTGCTGGAGCTGGAGCTCAGCTTGCTCCGGCTGCACCGTCAGGGTCCCCCCTGCAGCCCCGCAGCCCCGGGGACACGGGCATGAGCCCCTGTCACCACTGGAGCTGGCACTGGATCACCACCAAGGGGTTGGGAAGGTGGCACCCCACAGCTCCTGGTGTGGGTGTCCAGCTGCCTCCCTGCAGCGCATCCTGCTGCGCCCTTGGATGTGCTCTGTCATCTCCAAAACACAGCGGTGGGCACGGATCCAGCTTGGCCCACGGCCCCCGGGCAGGGCAAGGCTACTGGGCTGCGGCTGTGCCCGGGAGAGGAGGGACTCGGGCGTCAGGGAAGAAGGTGGCCTTGACAAGGACGATGCTCAGCCACACCAAGTGGGAGCTCCAACAGCTCCAGCAGCTTTCCTCTGCCGATGGAGGGACGTGGGTTTCATTCCCCTGTGGATGGGATTACTTCAGCCAAGCTCATCCCTGCACTTAAACCCCTCCAATGGGGCTTCCATCCCTTGAGCCGCTTCCCCTCAAGGCTCCTCGTGCCCCAGAGATGTCCCCTTGGATGTCTTTGATGTCCTCTCTTTGCCAGCCACAGCTGCCCCGAGGCTCCGAGGTGCAGCCGCATGGACCGGCCGTGGCTCTCCGGAGGGGATTTTCCATGACACTCCACACCCTGCTGCTCTGCGGACATGGATCACACTTGTCCAAGCTGCTGCTTGGAGGAAGCCAAGCTATTGGCCACGGCTTTTCTTGGCCCTTTTCTCTTTCCCAGCTCAAAACTTTTGCTGATTTTTTCTTTTTTTTCCAACTGAATTCTGAGGAGCTTGGGATTCTCCTGAGCCCACAAAAGCAAAGCCCCTGGGAAGAGCAGTGGAATGCCAAGCACCTCAGCAGCTCACAGCGGCACCTCAGTATCACCTGAGCCCCTCATCCCCTCCTGGGAAGGATGCTGCTGATCCTTTGGGTTGTGGTCACCAAAGAGGAGGGTCCTCTGGGGCTTTCCCATGTGTTCCAAGCTGGGATGTGGATGGGTTATTCCCAGCCACTGTGTTGCAGCGGGGAGAAGATGCTGCTGGGGAGCCTGCAGGTGATGATGCCGAAGGTGGTGTGGAACAGGGTGCTGTGGTCCCAAGCCTCCAGAGGCTGAAATGTGGAGCAATTTTGGGGGGAATGCCCACAAGGAAGAGCCCTGGCTATCCCTCAGCCAGGCACTTCAGAGGGAAGGGCAGCATCCCTCAGCTGTGCCCAGATGTTGGTGGGAGGGAGCGTTTCTGGCAGGGAGGTGGCACCTTGCCTGGCAGCACCATGGAGCCAGTGTCCTCTGCTGTCCCCAGCCGTGGTGTGACCCTGCTGCTTTGAGGCACAGTGGCCAACCCCCTAAAGCCACCAAGGGCCAGTGCCATGGGAGCCGGGTGTGGCTGGCCCCCAGCTGAGCCGTCCTGCCACTGAGCATCCCACAGGCAGGGCAGGGCTGTAGATATCCCAGGTGCTGGAAAAACCACATCTCAGCACAGATAGCAGCAGCAAGGGGCACAGGGGACACAGGACAGGAACCTTTTGGAGCTCCTGAGTGGGAGAGATCAGCACTGTGCTGATCCCTTCGCTTCCTGCTGATCCTGCTGGGGCTGATCCTGTGCCCAGGGGCATGGGGGAGATGCTGCTGTGCCAGGTGCCTTGTGTCTGCTCCTCATTTGCCCTCATGGCCCCCACAGTGTGTTGAGAAGAGCCAGGCCTGGTTTGGGAAACGCTCGGACAGGATGGGGAGGTTGATTTAAACCATTTGGTTGGAGCATCAGATACAGAAAATGCAGCAAAGACCAAGATGGACAAAGTCCCCAGTGCCCTGCAAGTGGGTGCAGGGGACAAGTCCAGGGCTATGTGTCACCTGGGCAAATTTGGGCATTGCCAGTTTATGTAACACTCAGTGTCAGCATTGGCTGGTGTTCCTTTGCTGCCACAGTCGCCTTGGAGCCGTGCTCTGGTGCGGAGGGAACAAGCACTGTGTCCCCTGGGAGCATCCATCCCTCTCCTCCTGCCCTCCAACACGGGGCAATTCTTATTGCATTTTTTTCCTTCCCCAGGAAATGGCTACATCGAAGGCAAAGAGCTGGAAAACTTCTTCCAGGAGCTGGAAAGTGCAAGGAAGGGGGCGGGCGTGGTAAGGGCATTTCCTGGTTTTGCTCCCTCTTTCCTCAGTTCCCTCCTGCCCAAAGATGCAGACTCGTGCCAGCCCCATCTCCTTTGGGAATGGCACTGATGAGTGGGACCAGGTCTCCTCTGGGAGGGAAGGGGGGGGAAATGCTCCCATCCCCTCTCTCCTTGCTGGCAGGACTTAAAGAAGGACAACTTGGGCGACAAGATGAAGGAGTTCATGCACAAGTATGACAAAAATTCAGATGGCAAAATCGAGATGGCAGAGGTGAGTGGTGCTGGACCTGACCAACCCCCGGGGTGCTCGTGTTCCCCCCAGGGATGTTCAGGTTTCCCCCTGATGTTTGTGTTCCTTCCCTGATGCTCCTGTTCCCCGCAGCTGGCCCAGATCCTGCCCACGGAGGAGAATTTCCTGCTGTGTTTCCGCCAGCACGTGGGGTCCAGCTCGGAGTTCATGGAGGTGAGAGGGACAGGCTATGCTGGGGCTCCCCGTGGGATTCCGTCCTCAGTGCCCAGCTCCACAGTGGAAAAACTACTGGGAGCTGGAATTGCCCAAACTTCCCACAGTCTCCCCCAAACTCCTGGCATTAACTCAGGACTGGGAGGCAGTGCCAGTCTGGGGGGAGAGCGGGGTGTGGTGAGTTTTCCCAGTCCTCAGCACCTCTTAGGCACCCCTCAGGACTGTCAGGTGCCTCATCCCACTCTCTGTGTGAGGTGAGCTGCGAGGATTTGGGGCTGTTCTGTAAATTCCCCCTCATAGTTGGTCCACAGTACCCAAGGAATGTGCTTGTGTGTGTTATGAAAGCCAACACTGCTTTGGGCCACCCCACAACCTGACTATTCCCTTGCATGGGGTGAACCCACAGAGGTGGAAGAGAAATTGTGGATGGGGAACAAAACACGGCTGGGGGTGGAGAGGAATGTGCAGAGTCCTGGGGAGTGGGGAGGTTGTGCTTGGAAAATGAATCCCAGGTGAAGGCGATGGCTGAAATAAGAACACCCTGTGGCATGGAGGGGAGGGTAAGCTGGCACTATTGTTTAATTGGGGGGTGCAGTTAAATGTTATTAAATATTAAAGCCTGGCCTTGCATACTGGCATGAGGACAATAGTGCTTGAACTCTTGGCATGGGGCTGAACAAAAGCATCCAGCCCCAAGGGAGAGCGTGTGGCACTGGCGAGGAGGTGGGAGCTGTGAGATGACCCCTCTCCATTAGGGTGGTGGTGGGGATGCTCCCAGCGGGGGGTTATGGGGGGTCACACACATGTCAGGAGGGGAAGGGGGACACAAGCTCACACTCCC